TAAAATAAGATACAATTCAAGTAAGTTAGGATTTAGCAGTGGTAGCTTGTATAAGAATGATCGGGACTGCCACTTGGGAAGAGCCATAATATTATCGATCACACAGGGCGCACCTTTAGATGTTCTTTATTGAATATTTCTCATTAGAAGTACTAAGTGTTCACGACCACATGCCTAAGGTGTAGATAGACATAAAAACGTAAGTTACGTTGATACATTTGCTATTATTTATAAAGCTCCATCTGAAGAAATGTGAAAAAAAGAAAAGAAAAGCAATTTATTGGATATTGGATATTGATGGGAGGACCAAAATCTATAAGTAGTAGTTCAGAAATTCTAAATTTTAGTTTATATTATCCTCGTAGCCTCTTTAAAAAACAAGCCTGACATCCTTCTATTTTTTTGTGAATGGCATTCAAAATTTAGAGACCAACAAAACAGCCCATGCTGCATAAAAATTTGGCGGCAGAAAAGTTCATCATATATTACGACTGACATTAAGAACAGATATGTGTTTATACATCGATCCTTAGACGTGTTTGTAGCTAATAGCAGTTTTATGGTGGCGTGTGCTGTTGCCACGTGCAGCAATAAAACCGGCGATATCTGGGAGGGGAAGAAGGTGTCTTTCTTACGCATCCCTCGCCATGGAGCGTATAATAGGCGAGACCGGGGAAGGCCGCACAAATAGCAAAGCGAAAGATAGATCTTAGCAACATGATGCGAGAAGCTTGGATAGGCGCATGTTGCCGTTCATTTGAACCCGATGGTGATCTCACAGCCGGGTGATCTCACAGCCGCAGACGTTGAGAGGTTGTACTGGACTCGTAGTGATCATCGTATGTGCATCATGCACTTCCATCCCACGATCTCGTTCAAAAGAAGAGTGGGGAAATATGTACAGTTCTTGGTGCATCTCCGACCATGCATCTCAAAACCCTATCTCCCAAAGGTACACCAGTATGGAAAGAAAACTCACGACAACTGTTACTTATTGACTACAACGAATTATGTAGTATCGAGGGTATAGGCGCTGGCAAGAAATTACTACAAAAAAAATCGATCAGCAGTTACAGCATGCGCTAGTCGTAGAAAGTATGGAGAATGGTGCAATTGGAGAGTTCAATAATCTATACAGAAATCCGCTACCCCTTCATAAACAATGGTAAGTAGAAGAGCAGCGAGATAGTAAGCGATATTATTTACAAGACCAATCCACTCCGAGATCGCCACTACACCATTAGTGCAGCGAATACACCTCACTCCCAGTGAACGGAAATACTGTGTGTATATCTGTGTATACACCCTCCCATTGTTCGGTAAAAAGGACTAATTATAACAAGAAACACTCTTATGTAGAATCTGTTACCTATGTTGAGACTAGTCTCCACCAATTTAGCAAACATAGCGGCTTAGTACAGCGTGTGAGACACGTAGAAGACACGACAGATGTGTTGGTACCCTGCACCGAACCAATACATACTTGGTAATCAGTATGTCAGGTACTACTGAAGCGAGCACAGCATCTATTGGAGAGTGCTACTGGTAGAAATAGGGCAGGTTTCTATCAGCACATACAGCTGTGCTTTCATTCATAGTGCAAACGTGTGTAAGTGATAGCACTATCAAATATCAAACTCCACAGCATTTAAGGCAAAGAATGAAGGAATAATGCCTAATACACTATGTGTAGTGAAGGATAGAACGGCGTTGATACGCGACTCGGTGTATAAGATACATATCGACGAGATCAACATTCGACCGACAAATACATTTACAAACAAGACGCGGTTCTTTAGACCTGCGCACAACAACCATGAAGTGATAGCAAACCACATTTAAACATTTTTACTAACACCAGTTAGCGGTCAAAAGCTATCCCTCAACCTAATGTCGAGGCCTGTATCAAAACAGACGGGTGAGCAACTATTCGGATATACATCTATCACTAATGCAAAGGCACAAGAAACAGAAGCTATTGTTTGTCTGATCCTCTTTGATGGTAGCGCGGTGAACAGGAAAGCTTGTCAAATGCTGCTACTTCAGAACACAAGCCCAGAACCGCCAGGACATAGATTGGTGCTACCCCAGCAGTCTTTACCTAGCAGTGTTGAGATAAATGGTCAGCAGGTTGAGAGACTACAGTAGAAAACGTATTTCTATATACGTTAATAACGTTTTACGTCGTCAGCCCGAGAGTAATTTGGGACTTGTTCTCAAATTAATATAAGTATAGGTGGGTCAGCCCGAGAGAACGTAAGAGTAATTTAAGACTTTTTCTCATATTATTCTATTTATAGAATACGGGCCACCGGCTAGCCGAGAGCCGAGGTCCGAGACTGAGTGTAGTAACAGAGAATATGATATATTTATTTCTAGAAAATATATCCGAGTGCTAAAGTGTTCTGCATAAGGTTTCTCATACTGATCATATGAGTTTTTACCCTGGCCAACCCAAGTGGTTGAACACTAGTACAAACACCATCAGTATATAACTGAGAGTGGGATTATAAATAAATTCATTCGAATGCACCATACTTTAGATACACTAGCACTTTACTAGTAGTCCTCCACATCCCACGCTAACACAGGTATTCCCCCTATACTGTTTAATCCACTTAATCAAATATGTAAGAAATAACCTCATTAGAAAAGGTCACAATTTCAAGTATCCGGATATGACACTCTCAGCCGGTTATCACCTACTAGGTGGGATATACGATATACAGTGGAAACGTATATGAAAGACAGAGTATTTGCTCCGGTTCGTATTAGAAGAGTGACCGTATGGCCAAGCAGCTTGGATCGTCAACAAGTTGCTCCGGCACTGTTACTATTTAATAGTGACATATCGTAATCCCTTCGAAGGGAATTTGGAGAACAGGCGAGTGGTGCATACCTTTTTCTGGAGATGATTATCAACTTCATCACCGAACAGTTCCTCACGGTAAGCATAGCAAAGAGCAAACACAAACGACTGCCCAGGGTTGATCCTTTCACACAGCCGGACGATCCGCGCCTACAAGAGGCGGCGCAGACCCGATCCGTACCACAGAGGTGGGTACTCTACTTAGTAGGTCAGCAAGCGAATATATGGAACATTCGATAGGGATAATATTATTTATTTCAAAAATGGCAAGTATGTATGATACAATGTAGGAACATATGGTATGGCTCTCATAGTCGCTGTAGTGGTTCAGGAAAGATTGATGGGAAGAAGTGGTCGTGTGTGTTCGAGCGTATATGATTACGAAATGTGGTGTTATGCCAGGTTTCAACCACACACATAACATCAACCTGACTTAAAATCGATATAACGTTCAAACACTTATCTGTATGTGCTGCGTTGTCCATGTTGAGTCCTTGTGGGTTGAAGAGCGTCATCCTCATTGGGCCTAACATTGTTCATCATCGGTCAATACTACTGGGCTCTCCTCTTTGACGATGTCAGCCATTTCTACATCATTGCCTGTCGTCGAAGAGTCCGTCGTGGATAGCTGAGGCTGCGTATTGCTATCCATCGTGTCGGATGATTGTCTCGGGGGGACCGTTGGTATATGAAGTCGTCCGGGTTCCGCACGCGCTGATTCTTTAGCGTTTACCGGGATTCGCGGGTTAAGTGAGAAGAAGTTTTTATCATGCTTTGCTTGGTAAGCCTTCTGGAGACGGTCCGTGGTAGATTGGAGGATGTCTGCGTTAGTGGAGTTGACAAGTGGGCTCAGTAGTGCATCCATGCTGCGGGCAAGAATTTTTGGCGCTCGTTCATGTGTGCAGCTGGCCTCCCGCTTGGTGCGGAGATAGTGAATTAAAGCTGCTTTCGTAGCGTTGGGATGTTGTTGGGAGCGGGGGTCGATGTTTTCATCAAGCTGCCATTTCCACGTAAGGGCTGCATGTCGTTTCACCTGGGCGACAGAGTCGCTAGGAACACAAAAGCGGATAAAACTGGTGGAGCTTCCGCGGCGATTTGGTTGAGATACCGATTTAGACGGAAGATACCAGAGAAAGTGGTGGCGATTGAGGGCTGGTTGGGCATGCCAGTATTTTTCAAATACTGATTGGGATGGGGGCTTGCCGTTAGGGAAAATTGCTCTGAAGAAGAGCCATACCGAAGTTATGTCATCCATTTCATGAAGAGTTTTGTCCGGCATCGGGCGGCCCACCACTTTCGATTCGATAGTAACAGTATTTTGTCAACACCGGCCCGAATTGACTCAGTACATATCTTCCATCGTCGACTCACTTGGCCCAAGCTTCAAACGGGAATTTACTGATCACTTCTTCCCATCAATTTTTCCTGAACCCCTACAGCGACTATGAGAGCCATTCCATATGTTCATACATTGTATCATACATACTTGCCATTTTTGAAATAAATAATATTATCCCTACACGAGGCAGAAGAGATCGCCTCCTGGTTACAACTATGGTACGCTGGTTTGTATGACCCCATCGAGCTTGTAATAGACCGTGATAACAATTTCAATAATGATCATGGCAACGAGGCAGATGAGGATACAGCCGAAGATACAACAGTGGTACTGGCGAGAGCTTTGACGAGGTATGTATTAAGCAAAGCGTTGTGTTTTAGGTGATTGATTTAGGCTTATGTATGTACAGTATTCTTACACAATATTGTTTTGTGCTATTGATTAAATTATACAGGCTGCCGATATGAACACTATGATCAATGAACTTCTAGGACTAAATATTGCTGGAATATGTAACGGTATCGGAACACTAGTGATGATAAATTCATACCTGACAATGAAATGGATTCGACCAGCGGTGAACTAGGAGGATCTGCAAGCAAAATCGAAGGTGTAAGTGAGACTGATGCTACAACTCTAGATCGTCGAAGACGGAAACCATTGAAGGATGGGGTTAACTCCTGAAATCTTCTTTACCTTGTCGCATACACTTCGTGGTCCAGTGAAATCTATACGATATATGCTAGGTGAATTACATATGTTATATTTTTTTGCCAGGTAGGATTAATAATGATCCTATTGAAATGAGTTTTTTTGTTGCAAGAGCAATGGCTGGCGGCAATCGCCGCTTAGATATAATTGCATATTTGTACTCACAAAGGACTCTCCTCATACGGGCAATGTATGATACATGTAGAAACGACGACCAAAGTCACAACAGGGAACTGTTTAAACTACTATTTGAGGGTTTGCAGGCACAAACGGACGAGCTGGAGAGCACACAAGCAAAACTACTACAAAGGCGTTGGGATTCACTTACAGAACTACGGAAGTAGGTTGGCTGTTATATCAACACAGGATAAGACGCTTCCATATATTGCCGGGTATGCTGTGTACAAATTGTTCAACAATTTTCCCGTTGGTTGCGATGATTGCCAAAATGTTGCGAGCATGGGTAAAGGACTCGAGGAAGATGAGCAAATTCTTGCTGAATACTCTTGTGCATTGAGAGCTCAACCTGACAGAAAGGGCTTGACATGGCCTTTGCGCTCAGTAGTTGTTATGACAGGTTTATTACTCGATATTGTTGAGTGTATTATCAACAGCAAAGTTCTACTGAAGCAATTTAACGAATCTACTAGCGCAAGCAGGGTCGGTCTCGGAGTCATTCGCGTACTTATTTCACATAGAGTAGATACTTGTGGAGCACTTCAATCACTGAAACAGTTGTGCACTACATGCAGCAAGGACAGGAGTCTCACCATTGTACCCCACCTTCTAAATACGCTGTACAACATCGTATGTAATAACATGTCACTGGTATTAAATATAAAGAGCGCGGCAACTATCGTAACGTTGAGTATGGTTAAGACCAACAAAAAAGAAAGGACAACCAACATCGTTGATCAGCACTGAACATTCAACGCATGCCATTGACAACTCGGGTAAGTGGACTTCGAAAAAGTGCAATGACATTCTGCGAAGTGCGAATGCGCCATTGGGGGCGACATTTATAATCTTTGCAAACGATGTCTACTACTTAAAGACTTACAAAGTCACGGTATCGGAAGCATACTTGGGAGGAATACCGATGAGGCAAGCAAGATTAGTGATCTACTTGACGTCGCGCAAGGCACCAAAGTGGAGATGGTTGAACGTATTAGAAGAACTCTTCTGAACCCAATGGCCCTACAACAGAATGATGTACTTCTGGCAGCCATTCGAGAGGAAGAGGACATAGAAACAGCGTAGTGTATATAATAAAGTAGTGTCAGCTAGTGTTTTGTGTGTGTGCTTGGGTCAGATCTGTACTCAGATAGGACCATAAAAATCATTGTTTTTGTCGTCATCACTTTTGCTTGTCTCCAAAATTAGTATGCCAAATATATGATGTCAGACTTGTTCTATTTACGAGGCTATGATATCCTACATCTACGAATGTCTCAAATAGGATCCAAGGTAGTGAGTCATACTAATTACATAGGCCATTGGAGCCATCAAAGTAAATTTAGAACATTTTGGAAGTATTGGAAAAGGAACTTGTAATAAATTATTCAAATATAAATAAAAACCAATGTGTTATCTCGTTTGATTTTGATATTTTAGACCGACTGAAGGTCTTAATCTCAATTCTTACTCTCATCGCAACAGGGGTTTACAAATTAGACTCGCGTATTAATTCTGATCAGTTTAGTACGATGTTTTCGACTTCTCTGCAAGTTAATCTCACGCTGATCACATGATGCCTTTCCGCATAGGTTGTGACTCACATAGGAACGCAGCTATTTTTAAATTGTTGCGGATCAAACTTACTCTACTCTCGAGTCGGCTCAGAAACTTAATCAACTCCGAGAGACTACAGATCAGGCCAAATTTTACAGCAAGAAACCCTCTTGGGTTTGTAAAAAAATATCAGAGTTGGTTCACTCTCGAAAGCTTATGTTTCTTAGCCGACTCCCGAGATTTAATTAAGTTTGTTATCCGCAACATTCTAAAAAAAACAACTGCGTCCCTATGTGAGTCACAAAGTGTGCAGAAAGTCATGTGATCTGGATGAGATTGACTTGTAGAAGTCGAAATAGAATAGAATCAAAGTGTTAATGTAATATGCATGAGGTTTTTCGTACTGACTATATGAGGTTTTACCCTGGCCAGCCCAAGCGGCTGAACAATACCACAAATACCTTAGGTATAAAACCAAAGGTGAGGTCAGAAATAAATACCTTTATACTCGATTTAAAGTATACTACATTACACTCTAACAACTTATTATGTCCCAGAGTCGGCTGAGAAAAGCCATACCTACTGAAGACGGCTCTAGCTACGACAATTGGACAACCGGCCTCGGTATAACAGCTGCTCAAGTCTTTTATAAAAACTTCAATTCCACACTCCAATTGGTCGAACATATCATACTTAATGACCCTCATAAACCATACGACCAAGTAATCTACACACCTAGAGCGGACTGGACCCCTGTCCAGCAAATACTGTCGAGATCTGCGATTTTGTTAACGGTCTCCAAGAGACGGAAAATACAACCAATGTAAGGCGCTCATTGTACCTAAATT